CATCTATCGATTCACTTGTATTCTTGATCTGCAACTTAGCATGAAAATCGAAAAATTACGCATGCTCGTGATACTGGAGCCAGCCGCCCAAATAGGCCCTGCGCGGCCTCTCATCATTTACTCCGACGAAGGCAGGCCCACCTGCCGAAACGTTAGTAAAAACTGCGTTTCGTACGTTTGTCGTCTTCCTTTTTTCGACTGTATATATATATATATATATATATATATATATATATATATATATATATATATATATATATATATATATATGTATATATATATATATATATATATGGGATATGGCACAACGGGAGCGTTGTCAACAAGGATAAATATATTTATTTCCCAACAGTTTCGGGAGGGGATCTCCCTTCATCAGGGGAGGTCCCCTCCCCTGATGAAGGGAGGTCCCCTCCCGAAACTGTTGGGAAATAAATATATTATCCTTGTTGACAACGCTCCCGTTGTGCCATATCCCATACCTTCACGAAGACTAACTGGCCCATTGAATTATCACTGTCACTATATATATATGTACATATATATATATGTGTATATATATATATATATATATATATATATATATATATATATATATATATATATAGATATATATATATATATATACCAAAAGGTGGAGGACGGGCAAATTTAAGGATACTTTTTTTATTTATATATATATATATTTATATAATACTTATATATATATATATATATATATATATATATATAATATATATATATATATATATATATATATATATATATATATATATATATATATATATATATATATATATATATATACAGAATGGCGGCGGAAGCGATGGCGAAAAATCAGTCTAAAATTGTCTTGTAATTGCTATCCCAACAAAATTATGCCTTCTCCCGCTAATGGGAAGCATGTGTAGATGCAAAGCAGCGGGTGCTAACGCTGACACTGGCGGCGTTGACACGTCATAGCGGAGTTGCGTAGGAGAGAAACCTGGAGAGGAGGAAAGCACGCAGTGATGAGCTGGTGGTTCCTGCTGGAACATGCTAACCTCTGGTAATGGGCAATGAGAGACTGTCAGTGATTATCGGGCTGCTGCTGCAGGCGAGCAACTGATACGTGTCTCGGATAAAAACAAAAACCCATTTAATAAGCACACATGGCACTTTCAAAATATATACAAAAATGCGCAAAATAACGTGTAATATCTTCAAACTAAATCTAAATACCAACCTAAAAGAAGCCCCCCCCCCCAACTGTCATAAATATCGCCCAGCAACTCAATAGCCTTGATGCTTCGCCTCAGTCATACTTAGACTGTTCCGATCCGAAGTCGCTCTTCCGATCCGTCTTGTCGGGTACCTGGCGGTGTTCTCGTAGATTTTCACAAAGTCGTCCTCTTTGCCGCTGCTGACGTGGTCGCTCGTCGTCATCGTCGGCTGATTTCAGTGACATGGCGATGCCTCGGTGGTTGGGCCTAGCGGCTGCTTGCTCTTGCCAGTGCTGCACGATGTCGTGGCCACCCGGGGACTGTCTTCGGCGGCTTACTTCAAAGGTGGTTTGCACCAGGAATGTGGGTGTTTGCTGTGCACAGCTGCTGCATCCCAAGCAAACTCCCTCGAAGCTTGTCAAGTTCTCCGTCCTCTTCTCGAGACGTGCACGTCACATGTTGCCGAGTCGCTGTCCTGCTACTCCTGTCACCAGTACATTTCTTGGTGATGCAACCTTCTCTTGCGAAGACCATGGCGACAATACCAGCTCGCTACTGCTCGCACGCCAATCGCCGCGAGGGTCACGCGCCTCCGTCTGTCCCAGCCCCTTCATCGCTGGTGCCCCTCCCTTTTTAAAGACAATAGTCTTTTTTTGGGATCTTTGACGCAAAAATATTTATTTGTCTGTTTGTCTCTGTGTCTGTCTGTACGTTTGTCTGTTTTTCCAGCTTTAACAGCACCCTAAAAATCGTTGATGTTATAAGATCAGGCAACGACGACACAAGCATCTAGTTCGCCTTGTTGGCAACGGTGGCATAGCCACGTGAGTGCTCAGAAAGAATAGATCGGCCCTCACGCTGGGAGCATCATTCTTGTTCAATGTTGACATATGAGTTGCAACTATAGAAGTTGCAACTCATATGTCCTAATGGGGCAACTTTCATCGTCATCTGCGTGATTTCCTCTGCATATACAGCATCTCACCTCTTGGGTTGAATATTTATCGTGTTTATGTTGGTCAGTATATCTGCGACCCCTCACATCCGATCTACATCCCTTGAGGGTATAGCCATACGTCAAGCATTTTTTTTGCACTGCAGTCGCCGAGGGGATAGCGCATCTACACGATAAATCAGGGGCCATGCCTTAATTTCGGTTGGTTGAGCCGTGCCGGCAAAAGTCACGATCACTTATTTTGTGGGGACCTTTTTGTTCTCAACGTTTCACGAGCAACGAAATAGACTGCTCCTGCAGCCACAAAGATTTCAAGTATTTCAGGTGGTGTAAGGCTCAAGTCCACTCCTCGAACTAGTCCCTTCACATAGGCTAAAATGACAGACACGAAACTGCTCACCGGATTTGGGGCAAACGTTGTGCATATTAGGAGATCTGTGACGCAGGCCTGGTACGACGAGCAGCACAGGATGCCGCCACGTCCAAATTGACACACGTCAGTAATCATTTGGTAATAATCGGAAATTTTCCGGAGTTTTTCCTGAATTAGTTTCGGATTTTTTATGCGAATTGACACGCCGTTGAATGCAACTAGGGCAACGGGAACGCTCTGCAGACAAGTAAAAAAAACAAATCGATTGGCAAATCACATTTAGGAAGGGAAGTCGACCAGGCAGAATATGCCTTGCTGGTAGAAGAGAGAGACATCAGGTTGATAGGCTTAACAGCACCGCCCGATCTGGCCGCACACCCACAGGAGGAAGCACGAATGTGCCCTTGAAGTAGCAGTGGAGGTAGATCTCGAATTGAAACCGGGCGCTCAGGCCTTGGGAAGCACAGGACAAAACCTTGAGGGCAGCGAAGAGAGGGGCGGCTCAGCAGGTAGCCAGCGGTCAGCTGTTGGCTTGGGCGACACACCTACCTAGCCCAGGGATCTGGACGATCACTGCTCATTCAAGTTTCGTTCTCTTCGTTATTCAAGTCAAACATGTGTCCTCTCGTCATCCTTTTCATATTTTGTCATATACTCATGACGTACGCCCTCTTTTCTAAAAGTTTTTCTCCAAAAAGCTGCTTCTCCTCTCTATTGATCTTGCAGTTGCTTTCGCTTTCTAAGTGTTCAATTTAAATCAGCTTTCACTTCACAGCGGTAACCAAAAGCACTTTACCAGCACATAATTTAACACCACACTGTACTGTTTGGCATGTTCACTATATATCGTCCATAACACTCTCGGCTATACTTAAAAATTTAACAATCACAATAGTGCAGCACCCATTGTTCAAAATGTTGGCTCAGTTATTGTGTTCAAGATTCAGCTTCAAATAATGTCGTCTATCGACACACTTCAAACACATTCCACAGGACCATCTTTTTTCCACGAAAGCAAACCAGGAGTTTGTGACTACCCTTGTATATGTGCTTTTTCGCGCTCCACAGTTTTTTTTAATTTCTTCATACGTCTATTCACGACCCCCTGTCTAAGATGCTCAAAACATCTGCTGCCTCCTCTTTTGCTACTACCCTTTCAACGCCTCTTCAGCACCGCTTTTTGAGGTAGCAACCGACCTCTGGAAAGAAAGAAAGGTGAGTTCGGGAAGTTAGGACTTCCCCGAAAAAATTGGTTTGTTTACACGGTTTCGTAAACTTAATCGTCATAACTCTGTCCACGAAGAATGCTTTCAGTCACCACTGGCTATCGTCCCCCGTCGTGATGATGCATATAATGTTCGACGTATGAGCTGCAAGTCTTCACCTTATGCTCATTCAGTTTTGCAATGCAGAATAACCAAGTGGAACACATTACCATCAGACATCGCCATGGATTACAATATTAGCAAATTTCAGAACACTCTTTGTGATCACCTTATCACCTAATCAAAGTATGTTGATTTTCTTTTTTCTTGTCATTTGAGGTGAATTTCTCGTTAATGCGGTTGATGTTTCATGATATTCATGCTTTATAATGAGTTTGTACATTGCTTTTCTCCATTTATATTCCACAATGATTTAAAAAAAAACCTTTCTAAACTTTTCAAAATTTTAACAAAGCAATGCCTGTCCCTTCATGTATACCCTCATTTTGAGGGCCTCCGGTTTTTTTCTAAATAAAATATTACTGAGAACCAGCAGACAATTATGCCAAGCAAAGTATGTTATATGAGGTAATTTTATGGTAAATGTGAAGAAAGAAAATTGGATGAAAAGTTATTGGGTTGTGGGCAATGTCCGAACCTGCGACCTTCGAATAACATGTTCAATGCTCTACCAACTGAGCTACTATGGCGGCTATCTTCACATCCACTTTATTGCATATATATGGTAATTAAATGTGGGACTATCAGTCAGCGCCACCTGTAGCTGACATTCCCACATTTATTACACATAGACACTCAATGAAGTGGATGGAAGATACCGCCATAGTAGCTTATCGAACGTGTTATTCGAAGGTAACACGTTTGGTTCCTGCCTCTGAGGTAATTGTTATTTACATTACAATTGCCTCATATAACATACCCTATATTTTCCTCGGCACGATTGTGTGTTAGATCTCTATCGTATTTCGCGCAGTATCGTTCATGCATGGTAACAAAGCTGAAATATCAAAAAACCTGGTGCCCCCCTCCCCTGCGGGTGTCGTCTTAAATTGTACAATGTGCGACCCAGTTTGTCGTCACTGCGAACATAAGGCAAGTTCTGAAAATCATGCACGTAATTTGTTTCAATGGATAGATGATTTTGAAAGAGCCACGCAATGATTCGTACCATGTCTATTGGAATGAAAGCTGCATAGAGATATATGCCAGGGTTATAGGCCATCATGATGTCATTGTTCTTGCAGGTGCATCGCTGTTGGTTTGCCACATGCCGGCTGTCATGTAACGCACGGAGCTGGTCCATTTCCCGCCTGCTGCAATAAGATCGTCTGCCACCCCGATGAGCCGTCGATGGTACATTCTGCGCTTGCAGAGAATTCTGCTAAGCACACGTGAATCTCTTTCTTGTACGCACCAGTGGCACTTACATCTCAAAATGACACCGTAAAATGCACTCATTCATGCGGGTGGTGATGAAAATAAAAACACTTTTACCAAGTACACTTTTGGTTGAGTCAATTCTGCACATAGGTCGGCGAAAAAAAGCGGAACTCTATCAGACTCACTGAAGAAATACATAATGTTCTTTAGCTTACTCGGACTCACTCACTAAAATGTTCTTGAGCTGGAGTTAGGCTTATCAAATTATTGCTAAACTACTCAATCTATGGTTGTGCATTTCCAACAAGGTTGCGCATCTTAACGACAAATCTGCAGCAGTATCGAGTGACCGGGGTTTTGCGGCTGTGGTGACGTTGCAGCTGCCCATGTTTGCCAGCAGGACCCAGGCACTCAAGTATCAGGATGCAACTTTCACTAAAGCGATGCTGTGAACCTCCAGTAGTTCGACATTTTGAGTGGCGCTCTGGAAACTCTTGGCGCGTTACAGAAAAACTAAAGCGACTCAGTAAAGAAACGGGAAACCCTAATTGCAAGCTAAGAACTCTCTACGTCGCTTCCGTTTCCCTGTAGTGCGCTAAGAGTTTACATTACCTGGCCCCTGCCCTGGCTCATCTCGTGGCGTAGTGGGCGCGCAAGGAAAGGTTTACCGATCGAGAAGGTAGTGCAACTCACGGCTATTGAATGAAAGCTTCCAGGAAACCATGAATGACAATGTTAATATTTTATTAGATTAACAATAATAGTAATAATAATAATAAATATTCATAGTAATTCAATCTAGACAAATCATTGAGTGCTAGGGCAGAAAATTGGAAAGTCGCGCGAAGAACGGCAACCAGATATAAACATGCAACGCGCTGCCCCGGACGAAGCAAGACGAATACCCACAAGACGAGTGCGAGCAATCGACGTTCGCAGTTCAACCCGCTGCTGAAACTCAAAAGACGCACGAAAAATACTGAAAGACACTAGCTTTTACTTTGCTGTGTTTGAAAAGCGTGCTCTCCTCGCAAACGGAAAGACCGCAGCGATGAAGTGTCTGTCGTCTGCCCTGTAACTTCAGGGATATAATTCTGGTGAAAGCCCAACACGTACAATTTTCCGCCACCGCGAGACGAGCGTGCGCGCTCGCGCGGATGACCACACCCCGTTGGGCTAAGTATATGAGCGTGCCACCTAGTGCGTCGTTCGCGAAAGCTCCCTGGAAAGTCCGAGAACACGCTGATGTCCCAGCTTCCGAGATTGGCATACCGCCGCCGGTAAATGGCCTATATAATAAGCTTACCGTTTCTACAGCGGATGACGTTTGGTTTTGTGACTCGGTGGTGAAAGCTGCGCGCTTCCAAGCGAGAGAGGTAGCCTGTTGGATTTCGTGCGTCGGAAAATATTTTACGGGCGAAGCTCCTTATAGTCTAACCTTGTAACTAGTCATGCGTAACCGAGGGAAAAAGTGACGAGAAAGAAAACAGGGCAAAAGAAATGAATAACCATTTATCATCTCATTTCCTAGATGGCATTACTCTGCCGCTACTCGCCGAAGTGCCGCTACTCGCCGAAGTGCCGCTACTCTCCGATTGGCTTCTGCGCGCTTTGCCAACGAGTGCCTCTCTCGGTCTTCTGGATAGCCGCTGTACGTGGCGGATTGTTGGTGAAGATTGATGAAAGGAGCAGAGCGGCGGTTGCGTTAAAGACGCTTGCGCTCGGTTTCCTAAAGTAGGTGACAACCTCAGAATAAATATAAGCTCCGCCCACGAGGCCGCATCGCCCTTAATTTCCATGTCTCCGCGCTATAACAAAACTAGTTGCAAAACAATGGCACTATTTTCTCCATATACAACCGGAATCTAGCAATCCTTCATTGTTATTGAGATAAAGAAAGCAAAAAACTTGGGAGGGAATGGAGTTCAGCTTCAGCTTAGCAATATATCTCCTGTTTAAATCGCACCGCCTACGGCGCTTATCTTGGAGTTCATAAAGAAGCAATATAGATCTCTCAAAGTTGAGGTTTTTGGCACTTTAGGGTATCGTTGCTGTTTTTCTCTAGTTTTAGCATTGTTTTGCAATCTTCAGTACTGTATGCTTCAATGTTTTTGTGTGTACTTACGCTATGCGCATTTTGAAATGTGTGTGTGTTTTTTTACGTGGGCATTCCGCGGCTTCTTTGGTAACAACAACTAGTGTTCACTGTCTTATTTTTTGTGCATTCTTAGTAATATTTGCCTCTTAATTACACATCTTACATCGCATTGCCAGCACGTGATTTTGTTTACGCTCTCTGCACTCCGGTATTTGCTTTTTTAGTTGTTATCTTATTTTGTATAGTTCCCCATACTCACTGCTCCCCATGGGGCCTGTTAGGTACTTTTAAATAAATGAATAACCTTCCTTCTTTATTTTTTGAAGGCTGAAATCCCCCTGCATAAGGCGCACTTAACGCGCAATTCAGTACGGGAACTGGCACACTGATGCGTCAGCCAGCTATCTCTCAGCAAAGTTAAGGCTTGCGGACTGCTGCGAGGCGGTGGCGCTATACGCTGCTCTTTGGGTTCTTTAGGAGCTGAAAGCTTTTTTTATTATTTCACTACTAAACTGGCTCAATAACACTGAAGGCTGCTTTATCGACGCAGTTGGAGTGAATTAGGCACGACTCGCACGTACCTGTAACTAGGACCCCGCATAAACATACATTATTTGGAATTTCGGTCATTTGTGCTTATTGTGGGTGGGGCCCTGCAAACGACGGCGGCTGGTCGGCGGGGTCCTACTTAAAGGTACGCGCAAGTCGCGCTTAATGCGCTCCAACTGCGTCGATAGAGTGATACTGAGCAGCCTTCCAGGCGTATATAGCTGTAGCCCATCCAACATACCCCGATTAGCCAGCCTTGGGACGTTTATTCGTCCCATTACACGAGTCCGAACGATAAGTCTTGTGCTGACACAGCTAGAGAAGCGTAGCGTCCCCGTCGTTGCATGCGGCCGACGCGGCATGATCAGCTGTGAAAAAATAGGGGTGGGGTTTGAGCAGCGCATTGCATGCTGAGACTCTATTTAGTTTGCCCGTAATCCCTAATACTGAGACGTCTTCTCTTATTTGCACAGCTGCGCACACAGCAAGAAAACGCGCCCCGACTTCTGTACGCGCGGTTAATAGCGTTAATTACGTCGCACACACACTCGCGGACAAGTTCATCGCACTCGCGAAACGCACGGCGGATGACACGTCGTTGATTCCCTAACTCTGAGACACAATTTATTAGTTGCCCAGCAGTGCACACAGCAAGAGAACGTGCCCCAACGTCTGCAAGGCGCGGTTCCAATTTCTTTAATTAAAAAGACCTCTTGATTGCACAGCAGCACACAACATGAGAACGCGTCCCAACGTCTGCAAGGCGTGGTTCATTCTGTTAAATAAAACGGCCAGCGTCGCTCATGCACTAGCAAAATGCACCGCGGACGACACCAAGCCCTCATGGATAAGGCACAACTACAAGGACAAATTTTTCTGCCGAATTTTGCGGCATCTGGCAACACTGACCCTCCATGTCTGGCCACAGCATATGCTACATCAAACAGAACCATGCCAGTTGCTCATTTCCCGCACACATTATTGCACCACAATGAAGTTATCAAAGTCTGCAGGAAGGCTACGACCACAATCCCTGCCTTGTCCTAGCGAGTACTTCGCGCAGTATTATCTACAACTGAAACCATCAATAACGTCTGGTACCAGTCACTAGAATTCAGGGACGCTGCTGCCATAGGCATGCCCTTTCTCAGTAGGTGATGCGACTCCAAGCCCACTAACCCCTCCCACGGCGTAGTGTGTGATGCGACTGGCACTAGAAAAAACTTGAATATAATTTAGGAGTTAAGCAAGGTACTAAACTCCACCGGGCTATACATAATTAATATTTTTTTTGTTACTGGGCACGCTGCATAGATCTTATGTGGGTGGCGACTTCTTGGCGGAATTGAAAGGAAAATGATGATATTTGGCAACTTTTTGCTCGTCGTTTGGTGAATTTCACTCAAACGTCTTCGACGATTCTGGGTAGAGCAGGCCGCGTATGTCCTACCGGATACGTTCGCAGAGAGCCCACCTTTGAAGCTTTGAAAGTGTGTTCTCAACACCTGGGATGCAGAGGGACGTCGTCAGAAAGCCTGTAATGGGCTTTGCTGGGACCATGACCCCTTTCTAATAGGTGGCATAGTCATGATTTTATTGCCATAACAATGTAAAAATTGAGCAAACAGTTTAGTGACAGTCTATGCAAGGTAAATAAAGCATAAAGCTGAAAAACAACAAAGCCAAAAGGTAAAACGAGAAAAATACAAATGATTATAATTATTTCTTATTCATACGAATTCAATAATAGAGTGTAACGATACAAGAAAAACGAGATTAGTACCAAACTCAGACTGGACATGGGTTCATGAGTTTTGAGAAATAAATGTTAAAAAAGTATGTTCAATTTTACTCAGATGACTGCTATAGCAATCAGGAAAAACGCCAAGAGAAAACGAAGCATTTCTTTAGCGTAGTTGTGCACGTGAGTGGTATAAACCACGTGTGATTGAAGCGGCTGTTACGAACAACTTTGTGGTGGTTTTGGACGGCAGTGGTTCCTAAGACTTTGTCGCCTTTTAATTGTGCGTGGTAGCATTTCACATGCATTGCGTTGTAGAATTCTGTTGCAGCTAGTAGGTTAATGACTTCATGTAGTGAAATAAAACAGTGGTGTGACTGCACTAAGGAACATGTGTAAAGGCACTAACAGTCCTTATCTGTAAGGCGTGCAATTTCCGGATATTTGTTGATTTTGTACCATGAACCTGACGACAGTACTTAACATAAGATAAAAGCAGTGGTTTAGAGGTGAGAAGTCTGACTGTCTTAGCGAGAAATGAACCGGCAATAATGTGCCTTGAATACTTGATATAGAGCCAGATATCTTTTTGGTATGTGCGTTCCTAGACATGTGCTCGTCGAATATTATTTCCAAACCTTTTTTTACACAGTAAATAATTTTCCACGTGGGCAACTTCGGCAGTACCTTATCTGCGTCACTAAATAAATGTTTTCTAATTTTCAGCACTAA